GTCAATCACCTATTCAAATTACAATTGTCACGATTTTTCGCGAAATAAATACTCGATAAAAAATAATCGAAAAGAAAGAAGAAATTTGAAATATTTTAAATAACGTGAGTGAGATTTATCGAAGCTAAAAACGATAATCGTCTTATTATCTAATCACCAAAAATTATAACACGGCATTTGAAATAAGAAACCGTGGAATAGAAAAAATTGATAGGTAAGAAGATATTTGGAACACCCTGTAAATAGGAGAGCCGTAATCCCTTTTCCCAGTTGCGAATATTAGCTTTCATCAGTCGCTATAACCGTTTGAAGTTGTAACAGATCCTAGAAGCGTCAGACGATTCTAGTTAGCAAACACAAAGCAGACATCGAACTGTGAGCAATCAAACGGGGAATACGAGAGACGCTTCGTTAAACACTTTCCGGTTCGGATGGATTTAATGAACCTTAAAAATAATCTTCCTCTCGGCGCAAACGTAGCGTGGATAAAGCGAATTAATAACCGTTTAATAATTTTTCGTACGTTCACTCTGAACCTGTTTCGTTCAATTTTCTTTCTTCTTCTTCTTCTTCTTTTTTTTTTTTTTCGTCCCATGTTCAATTATTCCCCCCTTCTATGAAATTAAAACTCTCCTTAACTCTCTGTCTCTTTCTCATCATCGTCATCCGATAAATTACTTTCCCTATCATCGAACAAAAAATTATATAATTGCACATTTTTTTTTTATAACGAGTGAACATGTGTAAAAAAATATTCCTTTTTTAATCACAAAGAATCGAAGAAACTGTCCCCTCTCTGAATGAAAAGCTCACTTTCCCTATCATCCAACAAAAAAGAAAATTATATAATCGCATATTTTTTTTATAATGTGAATATATCGTCATTCCAAAAAATATTCCAAAAATATATATTTGAAAAAAATATTCCTTTTTTTTAATCATCGTTATTATTGTTATTATTACTTTGAACGAGCAAGATTCGGTCGAAGGGATCTCTGAAACGTGAAAAGTTCACTTTCTCTATCATCGAAAAAAAAAGAAAATTATATAATTGCACATTTTTTTTTATAACGAGTGAAGATATCGCATCGTCATCTCCATGTAATTGTTATTATTGTTATTATTATTTCGTTTGAACGAGCAAGATTCGGTCGAAGGGATCTCTGAAACGAATGAAAAACTCACTTTCCCTATCATCGAACAAAAAAGACAATTATATAATTGCACATTTTTTTTATAATAAATAATTATATAATTGCACTTTTTTTTTATAACGAGTGAATATATCGTCATCCCATGTAAAAAAATATTCCTTTTTTAATCACAAAGAATCGAAAAAACTATCCCTTCTCTGAATGAAAAGCTCACTTTTCCTATCATCGAACAAAAAAGAAAATTATATAATTGCACATTTTTTTTTTTTATAACGAGTGAAGATATCGCATCGTCATCCCCATGTAATCGTTATTATTGTTATTATTCGCTTGAACGAGGAAGATTCGCTCGAAGGGATCTCTGAAACGACTGAAAAGTTTACTTTCTTTATCATCGACAAAAAAGAAAATTATATAATCGCACATTTTTTTTATAACACGTAATTATATAATGCACATTTTTTTTTATAACGAGTGAAGATATCGCATCGTCATCCCTATGTAATCGTTATTATTGTTATTATTCGCTTGAACGAGGAAGATTCGGTCGAAGGGATCTCTGAAACGAGTGAAAAGCTCGATACGTTTCCCGATACGCACGATCGGTTCCCCGGAACCGCGATACGGTCGCGGGTTAAATCGCGTTAAACGACGAACACAGGAGGGAAACGGAGGGCCTTCGAAGGTTGCTTCGGATCGAAAAAATTACCTTTTTGACCCCGGCCACCAAATAAGCGAATTAACGACGGCCACCCATTTGCCACGGATGCCCGGCACGAGGGATGAAAAAACCGGCGATCCAAACGAGAACTGCTTCGTTTCGTTCCGCTCCCCTGTGCTCCTCTTCCGGAACTCGAGGTGAAAAAAAAGGACGCGTTTTCAAACGCGGCTGAACAACAAATCGATCGATCGTAGCGAAACGAAACTTTTCTCGAAAACTGATCGAAAAATCGATCGGGTTAGGGGATGAGCGGAGGGACGAGTTGGATGATGTTGGAGGAATTCGTAAGGAAGAATAGGTAGAGAATAGGGGAGATTTTTACGACGACTTTCATTTGACATTTTTTACGACGTAATTTGACGCGTAAAATCGGCGCGCGATGTTACGGTAATGGCGGAGAGAGGGCGACACCTTCGAAACAAATTGAATCGCGAGCAGTTGAACAATTGCCGCCTGATTGAATCTACTATGAAAATCTTCAACTTGTTACCGTTAGAATTAGCAAATGGGATTAGGGTAGATGGGAAACGCGGCAAGTGTAGCGCACCCGTAGGGGCTGCTACTCTCCCTCCTCCCAATTAACCGAGATTAATTTTCCACGACTTATTTAGTTTAACTTTACAGCATCTTGCCACTCGGACCGAGCTTGGGCGAAATTTACGCGAAACTTGATCGAAATGAAAAATAAATTTAACTCTTTATTTAAATTATCAAAGGATATTAAACTTCCCCTCCCCTTTATAAAACGAATAAGTTTTATTAAAAAATTTACGTACAAATATTTCCATTTGTCCAATTGATTTTGTAACCGATAATCTTCGAACACGCAATTAAGATAGAATTTTGCGAAACAATTCCAATTCCTTGGGGAAAAAAGAGCAAGTAACGAGGGGAAAAGTTGGCACGTTTGAATGCCCGAGCAAAAACACTGCTCCTTTCCCATCCACTCCTATCCCAATCCCTCGATTTTCCTTTCCCCCGTTTCGATCCCCTCGACCCGTGCATCAAAACTTTTTCCCTTTTATTCGACCTCAACTTCCGGTCGACCCATCGCCCAAACCCGCGCGTGCAACTTTCCCTCCCTCCGATTTTAAGTGTCTTCGGCTAGGAAAAGTCTCGATTAAAATTTTTACTTGATTCCACGACTTCAACGTTTCATCAAACTATTTCCACTGATCCATCGATGTGATATATATATATATATTTAGTTGCATTATACGTACGATTCTATTATACCTTGGCAGTATCGAGCAGTAGTACACGAAAAGGGGGTACACGTAATAGGAATATCATGATTTCTCGGTAAGAAGTATGGAAACCGAGTTACCTATAGCCCGACCTAGATCATCTTCTTGGAATGTAACCTACTGGATCCACGTAATAGTTCGACCGAGCTTCGTGAATGCGAACGCATGACAATCGAATTCAATGACACGTCGTTCGCGCCGATCGTTCGAATAACGCGTATTAACTGGACCAAATTTCGAAGTGTATGCAATAAAATTTTTTCGATTATATTATCCTCTTGTAAATCTTCTTTTTAAGTTATGGAATTACGAAGCTCAATTTGTAAATTCAAATTGTCCAATTTTAATTACGTAAGTTCGTTCGAACCTGAAAGTGAAAAATAGTAGAGTTTCAAACAACCCTCGAACGAAAAAACATCAATAATCATTTAGAATAGTTATCGTGTATATAAACGTAATTTTCACAAAACACAGTGAATCTAGTTACAAATAATTGGTGTACGAATTTACACAAAAAAATTCTGAATATTAAATTTCAAAACTTCAAAAATTAAAATTTTCTTTATAAGTGAATCCAGCTAAATTAATTTGTATATTCTTTTTTCTACAATATTATAAATCATAGTTTAAAAATCAATACAATTTTTCCATCGAAATTTAACGATTCTTTAATTTTTTTTTTTTTTTAGTTACTATATCAAGGAAGATAGAATTTTAGAAGATGTTTAACAAAGTTTCCGGAATCAGAAAACTCAGTTCGATGAACTGAAGTTTTTTGTAAAATTAGTTGCCACGTATCGGACATTGAATTATTCGTAAAATAATATCTCAAGAATAAAAGATCGATGGGAGGCAAACTGGACGTGAATATTTTTTTAAACAGATTTAAAAAATTGCAAGAGTCAAAGGGGAAGATTTTGTTACGGATAAAATTCCTTCTATATCCTTCATTATTATGCATTTTCTTTTTTATTCCAAACTAATTAAATGCAATATTAATTTTTTTCTACGAGATAATACAATTACAACAAAAAACAAACTATTGTTTCTCTAAAAAATTAATTTTGTCCGGTTAGCTCCCATTATTCGAACCGCTGTGTTTTGTCAATTCAAGCGAAATCATTTCTTGCGATTTTATTGGTCCATTTATTGACCAACAACAAAAATAAAAAAATCTCTTTCTCTTTCCCGTTAAACACTTTTCTGTAAGTACACGAAAATACACGACGATTCGAAACGATCCTGTTGTAAATTAATTTCCAATCGATTTATACGCCATTTGCAATTTCATATGCACGTTCATTCACCGGATAATCTATCCATCCCACGTTTTATCGATGAGTCGATGAGCACAGTGACGCGCCGCGCAGCGGTATGAATTTCTACTAATAATTTCAGCCGAGTGGTACGTTCCCGCCAAACGTACGAAATTTCGTACAGCAAATCGCAACGATGGGGCGCACTTGTGAACGCCAGGTCCCGATTGTTAAATCGCGGACGGGTTGAATATAGACGGGTAGAATATTTAGTAGAGCTCATTATCGTTTCTACCTAGCTAAACACGTTGGGAATCGTTGAGATTACGAGAGATTGAAATTGATCAGCCTTCTCCCTTTATCCCGTGGGAGGGATATTCCGTGAATAATCGGAGGGAAGGACGGGATTAAAGAAGCGAGAGGGGGGAAAAGAATTAACGAAACTTTGATGATAAATTTAAATAATAAACTCTCGAGGAGAATTTCGAGTTCGAGGGGAAAAAGTTGGATAGATATCGATTATGATTTAACTCCTCTTCTTTTCTTTTTTTAACATCATAGAAATCGATTTACCTCTGATCCCGAGTAAAATTCAATCTTGAAGGTTGTACAAGCTGTATAGGGAACGTGGGTTGAGTTTGGAAAGACCGCAAATGAAGTAGAAACTTCTTAACAAAATACGATCGCAATCAGGACGATAAACCGCGTCGTGTTTCTAACCAAGCGAGTGTAACGCGCTCTCCCTCCCTCTCCCGACACGAATCATGAATTTGTTTATACGTTATCCGGCCGCTCGTTCGATTTTTATTCCTTTTTTCCAAAAGGGTAAAAAAGAAAAAGATACGTGACACGATTAACGATCTACATATATATATATCCGTTTCGACGACGAATATATTTTATGTAACGCAACAAATGAAGTCGCGTGAAAATTTCACATCCCACGTGATTTAAAATTTAAACCCGTTAAACGAGAGGTATACGATCGCGCGTATGCACACGATCGCGCGTATACAATTATCACATCCCCCGTAAATTAGAGGTAATACTTCCTTCTCGTTTATTTACGTAATCACGTATTTCATTCACGTGCTTATTATTATTATTATTATTATTATTATTATTATTATTATATCACGGATTACATATTTTAATCATCCCCATATTTCACGTTTACGTAATAACGCGTCATATCGAATTTCGCTTCTCGGTTGTCGATCGATATCCCCTTCGATCGAGTTCGCTTCAAAAAAAAAAAAATCCACGATTTGCTAAATAAACCGTAGCCCATATCCTTTGATTCCCGCTCAAACGATGATTCTTCCCGTATCTTCCCATTTATCTTCCAGAGTGAAAAAAAAAAAAAAAAAAAAATTCACGCTTTGCTAAATAAACCGTAGCCCATATCCTTTGATTCCCGCTCAATCGATGATTCTTCCCGTATCTTCCCATTTATCTTCCAGCGTGAAAAAAAAAAAAAAATTCACGCTTTGCTAAATAAACCGTAGCCCATATCCTTTGATTCCCGCTCAATCGATGATTCTTCCCGTATCTTCCCATTTATCTTCCAGCGTGAAAAAAAAAAAAAAAAAAAAAGGAAAGAAAAGAAACTCGATCAGAGAAAAATCCTGCTCGTCGAAACTCGATCGTAATGAGCATGGGAGCATCGGGGCGTGCGACACGTCGTAGCGCGTGCACGTCGCCGATAAAAATCCTGTGAGTCGTAGCCGTCGTCGTCGTCGTCCTCGTCGTCGTTGGAGGGTTAAAATCAAAAGGCATGCGCTGGCAATCGGAGCACAAAGTGTGCCATTGAGATTTGTAACGCCTGACGGCGCAGCCAGACACGTCGAGGGCGCTGCTGCGGTAGCCTTCTCCCTCTCTCTCTCTCTCTTCTTCCCCTCTTCCTCCCAGTTTTCCACTTTTTCCTCCTTTTCTCTCCGTCTCCGTCTCTCTCTCTCGCCATCCCTCGAACACCGGTAACGCGTACACCCG